ATATATGATAAATTTTGATAAAAATTTATATGATAAAGTAAATGTTCTTTCAAAAACTCTAATGAGAAAGAAACGATGAAATTACATAAGGTTCATTGATGAATCCATATTTTAGTAGTATTTTACAATAGTTTTTAGTGCAATTAATAAAGAAAATATGCTAGAAATAGTAGAAAACCCTTAAAAAATAATAAAATGTTGCATGTCACTTTTAAACATAGTTATTTTAAAATTCATTGATTTTCCATGTAAAAAGTGACATTTAAAGTATGCTTTTGTAGGGAATTCTGAGCTAAGTTCATGAGGATTGGATGATCAAAGGAAAAATAGAAGAAAAGTAGCAAAAATTGGAGGAAAGAAGTTGATAATTGAAGAACAGCCTCTGAGTGATCACTTTCGCTGGTGAAAGTTAAGAAGAAGATTTGAAAAATCTTGGAGAAATAAGGATGGTGAATGTTAACAATAAAAAGGGTGCACAATAAATTATTGAAAATAAACATTCACAGGCCACACCCTCATCTCCCGACGAAACTCCTGACTATACCTTTGCTAAAAGGGGCCGGGGCGGCACATGTGTATTCGTGATGTTGCAGCCAACCAGCAGCTATCTATGCTAGAAGTCCTCAAGGGATCCCAGGTGTAACATCCTATATTTTGATTTAAATAAAATGAGGTTTGTTAAAGTATAATTGGAATAGATTTGGATAGAATTTATTTAAAAAAAAAAAAAATGAACAGTAAAACCGCCTATGAACAGTGTCGATGAACAGTAAACCGCCTATGAACAGTGAAACCGCCTTTGTACAGTGACGATGACGTCATCAATGACATCAGCATGACGTCATGGCTGATGTCACATCCGCGTACAGTACGCGTACAATCCGTGTACAGTACGTGTGCACAGTGTTTCTGGCGTGAACAGTTACCGCGAACAGTGTTTCCGGTATAAACAGTAAGGCGGTGAACAGTATTTCTGGCGTTGAACAGTGACTCCGAAAATTTTCTATAAAAAGGGGGTTGCGGACGAAATTTTCATTTCTTCACTCCTATCCAAGGTTCTCAAAGGTTCTAAGGTCATATCTCGCCATTTTCTCCCATACTAAACCTCCTAAACTTAGATTTTTCTTCAGATCTGTGATTCTACGTTCGATCTAAAGGATTACAAGTAAGTTTTTCTAAGTTTGAAGTTAGATTTACCGTTCATTTCTCTTCTTCTTCTTCTTCTTATAGATGTTCATGATGTTCTTAGGAAAACCTCCGTTCTAGAGTTAAACCTTCGGTTAAATCCTTGTAAAAGCTCTGTTTTGAGGTAAGGGGGGGCTCTACTTTATCATTTTGTTATGCTTATTAATCGTATTCCTATAGATCTTGTCATGTATGTGATTATATGTGGAATAATCCTTGTTTTATGAAAAATAATCGGTGAAAAGTGAAAATAATTAGTTGTTTATGTGATTTTATGATGAGTACATGGTGAAATTGGGATATTATGTTCAAATAGGGCATGATAAGGTATATTGAGGATGGTTGATATGATTTTATGATTTTGTGATATAAAATATATGAAGAGATGGATGTTTCATGTTTGAATATATTGTGTTTTATGTAAAAATGATGTGTATTGTGAATATGCCATGATTTGATGTATATGATAAAAAGTATGTGGAAATATAATGAAAAATGTGTAAACATGAGAAATGGCATATGTGAACATGTGAATATACTCGAAAGAGTATGAGATAGAAAAAGATATGATGTAAATAGTTACAGAGATACACTAGGGGAGTGGAAGATGGAGACGATATGGGATATCTTGGGGAAATGTAGGGTGGTGAGTGACATTCAGGATTGTGCACGGAATATTGTGTTCGAATGCACCACATGGCCATACACTCATTTCTCGACTTGACTCCTGACCATTACCTTTGCTAAGGGGCTGTCTATTGCATGCGTTGTATCCGTATTGCATTGGGCCATCCGGCGACTATTTACATGATGTGTAAGACCTCGGGATAGAGGCATCGGATAACTGTGGCCACAGGGCGCGGTAAGCGCAGATAAAAGTAAAAGAAATTGTGAATCTGTAATACACGTTGAGATGAGAATATGCTTTATATAACCCTGTGATATGTAATGCCATGATGTTTTCTTTAATCGTGATAAGATGTGTTTTGTGAAGAATGTATGTGTTATGTATGAGTGGTAGGGTAGATACTCACCCTTACACAACATTTTTCAAGAAACCAGGACGAATAGTACCAGGCTCACAGTGCATGGATGGATGAGAACTGCTATAGGACTTAGTTATTTTGAGTTATGTAATGAATATTTTCAGTTCTATAGCATTCTTTTGAAACAGTTGTAAAACTACTCTTCTTTTTATTGCTGATGAAAATTCTAGAATCTTTATTTTTCTAAAGTACTTATAAATTAATAAAATTTTAATCTATGAACTTTATATCATTTCCATGTCTGTTTCTATTTAGAGAGTTTTTGAAAGAAAAAAAAAATTTACTTTACTATTTAACCTTTTATGAAAATTTATTATATATTGAGAAAAGAAATATAAGGCGTTACACCAGGGGCAATTATTATGATGAAAAGTGATATAGATGAGAGGTGGTAAAGAATATGAATGATATGATATATGTATCGTAGCAGATTAGTTCATGTTGTTATGGTACGTGTGTTGTAGTACATCGACGGATATTACTAAGACAGATGTATCATGACACATGAATTGAAATGATATGATACATGTATAATAACATACAGGTCAGCATAGAAATGTATGTATAATGAGTGAAATGTTATGTGTTTGATGAATGATTATATGACTACATGTATTTGAATGAGAATGAATTAGAATAAAGTATTAGGCTATGACTCTAATCATTCTTATTAGTTAAGATATACTAAAAGAAATTTAGTGGGCGGGAAATACTCACCCTTATTGAAATGTTTCAGGTACTGAAATAGAAGGAATGGAGATGGATGATTCGTTCTAGGGTCATACTTATCAAGGAGTTGTGGGAAAGGAACTGCTCGGATATAATAAAGTTTTATGAAATAGATGTATAAATCTTTAATGTATTTTTATTCATTTTAAAAGAGAAATCTTGTGTTAAGAATATATTTGTATATTTCTGAAGAAATATTGTAAATTCGTCAAGTTTTCTAATTCGTGTTCCCATACTGTACTATTTATACAAAGTATACAAATTTTGCTAATTATGTTTTAATAATATTAGTGTTAAATATAAATTAATTTCAATATGAAAGAGGGATGTTACATATCTATAGAAGTAGGTACAATGACATCATAAGACAATTCAGATACAGTTAATTCTAGACATCTCATACAATCCATAGAAATAAAGGAATGAGTAGCACTAGAATCAAACAACACATCTAAAAGTCGGTCTTTTATGATACATTTACCTCCAATAAGCTCCTCTGATTTTGAAGCTTCAGCTCTACTCATAGCACCACATGGCCGCACACTCGTTTCCCGACTTGATTCCTGACCATTACCTTTGCTAAGGGGTTGTCTATTGCATGCGTTGTATCTATATTGCATTGGGCCATCCGGCGACTATTTACATGGATGCGTAAGACCTCAGGATAGAGGCATCGGATAATTGTGGCCACAGGGCACGGTAAGTGCGGGTAAAAGAAAAAGAAATTGTGAATCTGTGGAATATAATATGTGTTTATGTGTTGAGATGAGAACTTGCTTTATATGACACTGTGATATGTAATACCATGATGTTTTCTTTAATCGTGATAAGATGTGTTTTATGATGAATATGTGTTATGTATGAGTGGTAGGGTAGAAACTCATCCTTACACAACATTTTCAAGAAACCAGGACGAGTAATACCAGACTCACAGTGTATGGATGGATAAGAATTGCTATAGGACTTAGTTATTTTAAGTTATGTGATGGATATTTTCAGTTCTATAGCATTCTTTTAGAACAGTTGTAAAATTACTATTTCTTTTTGTTGTAGATGAAAATTTTAGAATCTTTATTTTTCTAAAATACTTATGAATTAATGAAATTTTACTCTATGAACCTTATAGCATTCTTTTGGAACAGTTGTAAAACTACTATTTCTTTTTGTTGTAGATGAAAATTTTAGAATCTTTGTTTTTCTAAAGTACTTATGAATTAATAAAATTTTACTCTATAAACCTTATATCATTTCATTGTTCTTTCTCATTAGAGAGTTTTTTTTTAAAAGAAATTTACTTTATGGTTTAAATTTTTATGAAAATTTATCATATATTAAGAAAATAAATATAAGGAATTACACTTAAGGCTCGCCCTACACCTATAATGCGTGACACTCTTAGGAATACACGATCACTAACCTCAAATTCTAAGGGTCTTCTACGTCGGTCAGCATAAGACTTCTCTCGACTCTGAGTAGCTCTCAACTTTTCTCTAATGATTTTAACTTTCTCCTTAGTTTTCTGCATCATTTCAGGCCCAACCATCAAATGTACTCTATCTTGAAACCAACAGATAGGGGTTCTACACCTTCTGCCATATAGAGCCTCAAATGGTGCCATGTCTATACTCGAATGGTAGCTATTATTATAAATGAATTCTACCAAACGAAGCATATCCTCTTAATTACCCCTCTGCTCTACAATACAAGTCTGCAACAAATCTTTTAAAGTCTGAATAGTACGCTCAGATTGACCATCTGTCTGCGAATGATATACAGAACTCAAACTCCACTGCATGCCCATAACTTCCTAGAAACTCCACCAAAACTGAGAAGTGAACCGAGGATCCCTATTAAAGATAATACTAGAAGGTATTCCATACAACCTGACAATCTCTCTCATGTACAATTCTACTAATTTTTCCAAGCTATAGGTCATGTTGATCGACAAGAAATGCGCACTTTTGGTCAACCTGTCAACTATGACCCACACGGCAACATTATTTTTAACCATTCTAGGCAGATAGGACACAAAATCTATAGTCACATGATCCCACTTCCATCCAGAATTTTCATCATCTGCAACTCTTCTGGAGGACTCTGGTGCTCCACATTTGCCTTCTGGTAAGTCAAACAAGCTTTAACAAACTCAGCTATCTCTCGTTTCACGCCTGGCCACCAAAACATCTACTTTAAATCTTGATACATCTTGGTAACACTAGGATGAATGTTGAGACTACCCTTATGTCCTTCTTCTAGAATTGCTCTCTTTAATTCAGCATTTCCAGGGACACAAACTTGACCTTGGCATCTGAGAATACCATTAGTACCTCTACTAAAACCCTTTGTCTTATCTGTCCCTAAGAGAAATACAATCCGACATAACATAGGATCACACAATTGTTTGTCTTTAATTTCCTAAATAAAAATTTTAGCTACCACAATTCTACCATAACTAATCTTTCTAGGTGATGAGTCAACATGTAAGTTCAGCTCTCGAAATTGCTATACCAAAAGAGTTTCACTAACTTTTAAGGAGAATCCATGAACCACATTCCTGCTTAATGCATCAACCACCACATTAGCATTTCCTGGATGGTATTAGAGCTGAAAATCGTAATCCTTAAGGAATTTCATCTAACGCCTCTACCTTATATTTAACTCTCGCTGGTTAAACAAATACTTCAGACTCTTGTTGTCACTATAGACATCAAACTGAGCTCCATCAAGATAATGTCGCCACACCTTCAGAGCAAAGACTACAACAGCTAACTCAAGGTCATAGGTCAGGTAATTTTGCTCATGAGTTCGCAACTGACGAGACGCATAAGCTACCACCCTCTTATCTTGGCTTAACACACACCCTAATCCTTGATGTGAAGTATCACAATACACCTCAAATGACCGACTAGTATCAGGGAGAATCAACATTGGTGAGGAAGTTAGTCGCTACTTCAATTCATTCAAACTTGGCTCATATTCCTCAGTCCATACAAAGGGTTGATCATGGCGAGTTAACTGTGTCAATGGTGCAACTATCTTCACAAATCCCTCTATAAATCTCCGCTAGTAATTTGCTAGGCCCACAAAACTATGAATCTCTATGGCTATCTTCGGCCTTTACCACTGCAACATTGCTTCAACTTTGGAAGGATCAACTGCAATTCACTTAGCTGAAATAACATGGCCAGGAATTTCACTTCCTCTGGCCAAAACTCACACTTAGACAATTTAGCATACAACTGTTTCTCCTTCAAAATACCTAATACAATCCTCAAATACTCTGCATGGTCCTTTAGCAAACTAGAATAAATCAAGATATCATCAATGAAGACTACCATAAACCGATCCAGGAAAGGTCTAAAGATCCGATTCATGTAGTTCATAAAAATGGCCGGAGCATTAGTGACTCCAAAAGGCATTACTATATACTCGTAATGACCATATCTTCTAGTGCAGAATGTTGTCTCTGGGATATCTTCATGCTTTACTTGGATCTGATTGTACCCAAACTTCAAATCAATATTAGAGAATACTTTAGCACCTTTTAATTGATCCATCAAATCATTAATTCCGTGGCAACGGGTACTTATTATTAATTAATTGTCAAATTACGAACATCAACACAAACCTAGAACTCATATCCTTCTCTTTCACCAAGAGAACTAGTGCTCCCCAAGGTGATACACTCGGCCTAATCATCTATTTTCGCATTAGATCCTCAATCTACTCCTTAAGCTTTATTAACTCTTTCGGTACCATTCTGTAAGGTGCTTGACACGTGGTCGCACACGGGTCAAAATAAACCTAATTACTATAGTACGAGGTAAGCAACTAGGGTCGTTTCTCAAAGAATCACAAGGTTAAATTAATCTATTTAGAGAGTATATAAAATAGGGGCTTTGTTTATAAGAGAAACCAAAAACACACTTAATTATAATTAGAATGAAGAGTGAACAAAAATTGAAATTCCAATCCAAGAATTAAGAAGAAAAAAGATGACTACTCTATCACCAGATTTTTAAGAGAGTACATCAACAAACAATTCAGTAATTAACAATGAATCTGAATGAAACCTCAATTCGAACTCAGCATTCACATGAAAACCTTCATGTGCTAATTTAATTTACCAATGCTGTTAATCGTAGTTTTCAAACCTGAAAAATCCAATTCATGTTCCTTAAAACTCAATTACATACATCAATCGAATAATACGTAATCAACCAGATGCATAATCATCAATCCAAACGAACAACTTCAATTCGAAAATATAATTAGCAAAAGGAGAAAATAAGGAATAGATGAAACCGAAATTATTATTGAATTTATGCCAATGTGAGATCAATCCTCAAGAGTGTCACGTCTCTTTTAATCCTTGAATTAGATAAAAATCTAAGCCTCCATGGATGGAGGGAAACAAGTCGTAAAAGGTGAGAAAAAAAACGAAACAGAGAAGAGAGGAGAGGAGAGGAGAGGAGAGGAGCCAAAAAATTAAAATTCCAAATTCAAAATTCAAAAATTTCATTTGTCACGTTGTTCTTTTTTTTTCGGCTATGAAAACGGCCTCTTTTTGGTTTGTGGCCTGAAGGACAATTGTAGCCTTGGATGTTAGCTTCAAAAAGCCACTAGAATGGGCTTAATCAGATGTCTGTGGACTGAGATATGGCCCAAATACTGCACCTTGCTTAGTATCTGTGACTGCAACGTTCTGACTTTTTCCAGGCCCAGTTTCAGCTTCTTATCATCAAAATTGGTTTCTGACCTCTTCATAGGAACTGTGAACCTTTCTCTTAGATTTCGTAAAAATCAAGAATCACAATGAAAGGAGTTCTACAACTCAATATATGGTCCAGAAACCAAAACAGTATCAGAATTTGCCAAATACTGGAAAAATTAAATAAAGCCCAAATAAAATTCAAACATCATAAAATGATCCAATTCAACCAATTAGGCACAAAAGAGGACTAATGAGCTAGGAATGAGAGGAAATAATGTTATAAAAATCCAATTGATCAGTGCTACAGACACTGGTTCAGCTCTAGGAATTAAGTCTATAGCAAACTCTACCTCTCTATGCGGAGGTATTCCAGGAATATCCTCTAGGAAGATCTCAGGGAATTCCTTGTACTACTGGTATTGACTGCAAACTCTACTCATTCTTTGCATTCATAATTGCCAAAAGAACATAACAAGAGGCCCCTTCACTCAAAGATGTTTCTATTTGATGAGTAGAATTCAGCTAAACACAGCCTTGCTGCTCAAGAAAAACCAGACATCTTTGCCCATAATCAATCAGCACATGATTGGCAGTTAGCCAATCCATACCTAGGATTACATCTAACCCTAACATCAGGATACAAATAAGATTTACTTTGTACCTTTATCCCTCAACTACTATAGGACACCTAACACAAACTGTCGAAGTCTTGATCGAACTCAAAGTAGGTGTCAAAACTACCAATTCACATCCTAGATTGCTCACTGACAATCCTAAGTTTCTCACATAAATATCTCTAATCCAATGTTCACCTGTATTCGGCCCATCAACTCTAGTAAATTGAGGAGGATCGTTCATCCTGAACTCAAACAATCCTTAGTAATCCGGTGGAGGTGCAACTGAGGCAGTAGCTGCTACTGCCTGTGCTGTAGCAGTGGCTTGGTTTACAGCTTGCTGCTGTTGAATCATATATGGACTCCGCCTCACAGTGCCTGCTATGGCCTCCATGGCGTAAGCCATTTGGTTCATGTCAGCAGGAAGATGAGGGTTTGCAGCAGACCTTCTCAGTCTAGCCATCTGTGTCACACCTCAATTTAATTTCCAAGTAATAAATTTGTAGAGTGGGAGTAATAAAATTTTCATTTAAATAAAAAGATTCCATCATAAAGTTTCATAAAACAGTTCTAAACATTAAAGAATTATAAATTTATATCAAAGACTGCTACAAGACTAATTTCGTTACATCATAGTTTTAAAATACAATCTAAGTCCTATAGCAGTTCATCTTTCCTTCACTGAGTCCAAGTATCAGATACGAAAATTTCCTACATCTATCGTGTCTGAGAACTGAGGTGATCAAGCTCGTTCCCTCAAAACCTGATGATTAGAAATTATGATATATGATTCACAGCTAAGACTCACATGCCTAACATGCACAACTGACGCCTAACAACCTCACCTCATAGGTTTACCTAGACCATGCTCTGATACCACTAAAAATGTCACGACCCTTTTTTATAAGGAACCGAGAATATTATTTCTACATCACTTACTCATTTAAGATAGATAAATAATGGAGAATATAAGTATAAAATTCACTTCTCATTCAAAATAAAACAAAGTTTCTTATACAACAAATATCTAATAGAACAATATTATACTACATAGCTCCCTCTATATGAGGTCTCAAAATATATGGAAATAGGACTTGAATGCAAAATTACTCGACTCCAGCTTCTAACATTTCTCCACTGGCCCCTTAGCCTGTGAAGCAGATGCAACACCTTTTACATCTGCTCACGTACCACCGTACAATCATCGCAGTACACATGCACACAACAACATAGACAGAAATGCAAGGGTGAGCTTACAAAAACAAAATAAAATCATATATATATATATATATATAGGGAAAAATATAACTCATAGCAACAACACCATGCAATCCTAACCCATCTAATGCACAACATGAAAATGATTTTGAACAAGTTTCAGAGCTTAAGTAATCCAGAAGGAACCGAGCCGGTCTGGGAGTGATCCATTCCAGTATCTGGATCAAGACAGCACAACACAACACAACTTAGCATGCTCTATCATTACATGTCTACCCACCTAAACATGTAACTCGGCTCTATAATGATGCAAGACATATATCTTGTAACGCCTTATATTTCTTTCCTCAATATATGATAAATTTTAAAAAAAATTTAAATGGCAAAGTAAATTTTTTTAAAAAAAACTCTCTAATGAGAAAGAAACAATGAAATGATACAAGGTTCATAGAGTAAAATTTCATTAATTCATAAGTACTTCAGAAAAACAAAGATTCTAAAATTTTCATCAGCAACAAAGAGAAATAGTAGTTTTACAACTATTACAAAAGAATGCTATAAAACTGAAAATATCCATTACATAACTCAAAATAACTAAGTCCTATAGCAGTTCTTATCCATCCATGTACTATGAGCCTGATATTATTCGTCCTGGTTTCCTGAAAATGTTATGTAAGGGTGAGTCTCTACCCTACCACTCATACATAACATATATTCATCATAAAACATATCTTATCATGATTAAAGAAAACATCATGACATTACACATCACAGTGTCATATAAAGCATGTTCTCATCTCAACACATATTATACTCCACAGATTCACAATTTCTTTTTCTTTTATCCGCGCTTACCGCGTCCTGTGGCCACAGTTATCCTATGCCTCTATCCCGAGATCTTACACATCCATATAAATAGTCGCCAGATGGCCTAATGCAATACGGATACAACGCATGCAATAGACAGCCCTAGCTAAAGGTAATGGTTAGGAGTCAAGTCAGGAAATGAGTGTGCGGCCATGTGGTGCATTCGTACACAATATTCCATGCACAATCCCGAATGTCACTCATCACCCTGCATTTCCCCAAGATATTCCATATGGTCTCTATCCTCCACTCTCCCAGTGTATCTCTGTAACTATTTACATCATATCCTTTTCCATCTCATACTTTTTCAAGTATGTTCACATATGCCATTTCTCATGTTCACACATATTTTTCATTATATTTCCACATACTTTTCATCATATACATCAAACTATGGCATATTCACAATACACATAATTTTTACATGAAACACAATATATTCAAACATGAAACATCCATCTCTTTGTATATTTCATATCACAAAATCATATCATCCATCCTCAATATACCTTATC